AAGAAGAAGAAGAAGGAGAGGAGGGTAGCCAGACTTCATCTAAAAGCGCTCGTAGATCCAGTCTGGCCAAGAGGATCGCTAACTCCTCAGGCTACGTTGGCGACCGCTTTAAATGTGTCACCACTGAGCTGTATGCTGACTCCAGCAAGCTGAGCCGTGAACAGAGAGCTCTGCAGGTAAGACTATTATCACTTGTTTGTGTAGTACAGGATACATTGGGCTGAGGTTGGTGGTGGGCTGGAGAGAGGTCATTATGACCAATGTTTCTTTTTTGCAGACATTTCCAACACTTTCAGTTCTAACATCCACGCAGGAATAAACTCCCAAGGGCCACTGTCTTTATTCCCTTGCTGCAATATTCAAAACTGCCTGTAGAACAAACCCTGCATGAAATTGGCATACTTCGCATTTACAACACAGTACAGAATAATATAAGTGCTCTCATGCATTTGTCCTAGCCATAGGCTTGACCGTTCCCTTAGTTTATCATTGTCTTAGTGAACTGGTGCAAGGCCAGTTGAGGCCCTCTATCAGGGAGGGCAGTTCAAAGGTTAACCAGGGCTGCCATCTCTGTATGTTGATTAGCTAGCAGTCATTGTAAAGGTTATTTCTGTGCGTGCGTGTTTGTGTGTCCGTACGTGCTTGTCCTTGTGTGACTGCCTTGGGGCTAAAGCATGTGTTAGTGCTGACTGTGCTATAGAGCCATATACTGTAGTTTCAGAGCATGACTGTGGCAGCCTCACAGTTCACACTGCCTTTGGCTATGCTTAACCCCAAGGTTAGGGGCAGTGGAGGGCTTGCAGTGTGCTTTAAAAAAACCCGCAGCTGCCCTCTTTGGGGTTCCTCTTAGGCTTTCTGCATGCCCCCATCCGCCAGTCGCTATCCTCCCCTAACCCTCCTCCCCCTGATGGCCTATGCTGCCCTGCCTGGTTGCTGTCCAAGTTCATAAGTCTCCTCACCCCACTGGCTAAAAGACCCCTCTCCTAACACACATCACACTGCATCTATAAACGCACAATGCCAGCAACGTCCCCCTATGCTTGCCCATCATCCCCTGTCATTCAAATGCACACGTTGAGACATTAATTTTAGACTGTTATTTCTGGTTCCTTGTGTTCAGTGTTCAGAAACACAAACAAAACCTATGTTATATTATCCGCTGGCTCAGAGGCAGATACGTTAATAGGTTGCACATGTCTGTCTATGTTGTGAACACACCCTAGAAACCTGTGGTTTTGTCTGTGTCATGCTTGTCAATGCACAGCTGCAACACAAAGCTATCAAACACTCTATTTCTGGACATGAAAAAATTAGATGTGGAAGTCTGTTTGGGGAAAAAAATAAATAACTGAGACGACTAAAACTGAATTAGTGTTATCAATCATGCTTAGAATGAACATACTGTTTGCATTATCTTTTTCAAATTTGTCATTCATGCAGTTCAGAAATTATTTGATAGTTTTGATGCAGTGTTAATTGACCTGTTGAGTCACTTTAATTTGATTGTGTTATTTTGTGGGATTGTGGCTGCCTATTGTGTATAAAAAAACATGTGGAGAAAACATAACATAAATTCATAAAAAAAAGATGAAATGATGGACAGATATATTGAGCCCCCCCATTCTAATTGCTTAGATGGAAGTCATATCACGAGAGGGGAGTAATATAAGTCAACCTGCAGCTAACTGGGAGGTCAGTTCTTTACATTTCTTATCACATCTGCCTCTGATGGGCTCTGTCTCCTTTGTACTCTGTATCGCTGCACACTCTTTTTTTTTTCCCCACTCCCTTCTTTCCTCTTTTTCATCTCCTCTCTCTGCCTCAGGGCTTAGATGTATATGTTTCCTAGCCATGTTTATGTTTCAGGAAGGGAGATGCCAGGACTTAAGCCCCAGAGCGCATGGACTCACAGTGGCTGCAGTAGTCTAATCTGTGTCTTGATGCCATGCTTGTGATTTATCTGTCTACCTTTTTTGTCCTGTGTATGTGCGTGTGTTTGTGTGTGTTTGTGTGTGTGTGTGTGGGTTTAATTTCTTTGGCATTTTCTTTGATTTTTGAGACAATGTGATTTCTGACGCAATTTTTGCTTCTGTAGCTGTTGAGGCCAGATTGAGGCTTAGAGAGGTGTGTGTGCGGCGTGGGCAGACGATGAGTGGTTTTCATGGGTTTTCTCTGCATTTGTGTGTGTGTGTGCGCACAGCGGGCAATGATGCGGTTCTCGGAGCTGGAGCTGAAGGAGAAGGAGGGTGGCGGTGTGTGTGTGTCTGCCTCGGCAGCGGCAGCAGGACGGGAGCTGGCAGACGGCCAGCAAAGAGAGCGAGTGCTGGAACACTGCCAAAACACCACCAGGCAGGGAGAGAGGGAGGGTGAGTAACCCAGCACCACACACACGCACACACTTGTAATGCACGCACACGCACACACTCACACACACACATCC